AAATACACGACTGCAATCGATTTGTCATTGATTATCGAATACGTTGAAAAATACCTGGAGTATTCCTTATGGCACTGCAATTGTCAATTATACGATTCCTCAAGACATTTACATCTAGTACAGTTTTGTGAATAAGAGCCTTCAGATAACCCCATTAATATAAATCTAGAGGATTCATATCAGCAATGCGAGCTGGCCAATTTTGAGGTCCTGCACATCTAATCCAGCATTTAGGGTAGGTGATGTCAAGATGCTGACAAACGAGAACACTAAAATGAGCTGGAGTTTCGTCGTGTCTAAACCACATGTTGCTTCTCACAAGTATCGACAATACTTCTAACAAAATGGGTACATGATCTCGCAAAAAGTCCGTGTAGGATTCACCTGTTGATCTTGCTGGTAAAAAAAATGGGCCAATTAGGTGGTCACCAATTATTCCCACTCAAACGTTCTGTCGAGAATGAGAGACAAGATTTGTTTAGTCTACTTAGAAATTTATCAAAGGCAGGACTTCTACGCAAGTCACTAAGTGGCCTCAATTATATTTTTAAAGAAAATAAGTTTAATTTGTATCAATAAAAGGGAATAGACGCATGCTTTCAAAAGCAGTGTTTGATTTCAAGTCAAATAGCAATATTAGAAAAATTACGGACTCAAAAGTTCATCAAGTCAATACACGTTCAGCCAAAATTGTCAGTGTGAAAGTTCATAATAGCATATCGGGAAAAATTTGTTTCGTCCGTAAATGAAGTAGTGAGTGCCATTGTATGAATCAACCACCTGTAAAACATCAATGTTTGGTGAAAATTCCGAGGCAGTACAGCTTGAACCCAATGTTTATGATAGGGCTATAGGAGGTTTCCTTTTAGAACTGTACACACGGTTTTTGGGCTGACTTCCAGCTGCAGTGCAATCTTCCTGGTACTATTTAAAGGTTCTTCTTCTATTCTGTGTTAGGAATCACACCTTAAAAGGTAAAACCTCGTTAGTCCTCAGCTCACACAAGTTTCGACTTTTGAGAGTTGTCTTCCACCACCTGAAATTTATTCAAACTCCCAGTTCCACATAATCTTGCATGATGTAGCGTTCTAAATGTTTTAGCACATGGAATTACTGTTTTTTTTTGTACCTTGGGAGCTGTCTGACTTGTCCATTTAGTCCAAGTCTCCAGAAAACACTACAGCCTCTTGGGCTTGATGCGTTTATTCTCCCATCTTCTCATGACACCCACTTCATCAATCTCGTTCCCTGTACTAGTTTGTACAGGTCCCGTGTTGGATGTTCGTAATTTTTTACGTCCATATATTGCCTGCCTCCTGTGATTCAGTGCCTCACATTCGCATTAGATGTGTGGAGCTGTTTCTATCCCTCCGTTACATAATCTGCAGCTGAGGTCTCCGTTGTACAGCCCCATTTTATTCAGGTGTCCTCTAAACAGACAATGATCGGTTAGTAACCGTGTAATTATTCTGAACCGATCCCTACTATATTGAAATAGCTCTTCGGTTCTTTTCTTGGACGGTTCCCTAATGAAGGTTCTACTGTGTTTGTTGCCAGGTACTTTTGTCCAGTACTCTGTGTGCTTCTTATTGGTCCATGTCCTAATCTGGTTTCGTACCAATGATTTTGGTACCCTCAGAGCTGGTTCAGGACCTATATATGAAGTTGATGATCCGCGTGTAGCGCATTCATCAGCTTTATCATTACCTGTGATTCCTGAATGCCCTGGCATCCAGTTCAAAGTTAATTTGTTCCTATTTGAAAGTTCATTCAGTTCTTCATGGCATTCCCAGACCAGTTTTGATGTCACCTTCAGGTTTGTTAGAGCCCCTACTGCGCTCTTGCTGTATGTTAAAATATTGATCCGCTCATTTCTTTGAGGTCTCAATTTAATAAGCCTTGCACACTGCAAGATAGCATACACTTCCGCCTGAAAGACGGATGTGTATAGTCCTAGCGGATAGCTGTAGTTTAGATTTCTATCCGCTCGGTATATTCCAGCTCCCGTTCCATGTTTGGTCTTCGATCCATCTGTATACCAGGTGTTTTTTTTTCAAACATGTTTTCGGGGTGACTAATGGTCTTTCACTCTTCACGGCTTATGATTTTGGCCGTGATTTTTAAAGGTGTACTTCGGTGTCAGGTGGTCCGTGCACATATTCAATATGTGCTCCTCCACTTGTTCCGAAATTTCTGTTCGGTTCGATTTTTGTAGTTCGGTGTGTTTTCCAGTCTGAATTGGCCCATCCTGGCCTCCCCTATTATCACAAAATTACTCTGATAAGACATCTGTCCTGGTAAATTATCCGTGCTTCTTCCGCATTTCCATTTACTAATCCATTAATCAAGTGCAGGTCAGCCATTTCAGCGTTAGTAAAATTATCCATGATGGAATCATTGCTAATTGACAACTCTGACATTCACTGATATGACAACACTATCACTGTCAACTGGTCTCAAAGCAGGTGTTCATGATATGCAAAGTGACTTCAATTTTTTTTCTTGAAAACGAAGCAAGATATGAAGACAACACAAGTGACGATAAAGTTGTTATTTTTAGTCGATAAATCTAAAAAAATAAAAAACTACAACAACATGTCAGTGGCGTACTTTTTTTCTCCCAATTATTTTGGCTGTGGTCCCCACTGAGACGCCACTGGACCTAATAATTTCAATCTTGTTATGGCTATTACTTCAAATTTCAACCAAATCTGTAAAAGGATATTTACGATATATACGACCTAACGAATCACTCTCTGAAGTTTCATGCCATAGTTGGGAAACACTCTGTATATTAATTATAAAATATATTTCATTCTATTATCAGCTCGGTGAAGGTTGATTTAGGTTCGGATCTTAGACTATCCCAAAGTACTGATCTCTTCTAAAAATACTCTCTTTCCAATTCAATTTGACAAAAGTTGTGTACATGAATAAATGACTTTTTCTTTCACTGCGTAATTGAGTGGATGCAATTTATTTCAACAGTATACGATATGGTGAGCCAACGTTGGATTTATTTTGAAAACTTAAATTTCTTCTGGCATCATCACTTGCGATCTCTTAATTCCAATAATCCAGCTTCATGCGATAATTTGGCGTGCTTGGTTGTGTGGAATTTTGTTGGACTGAAATAGTTTTATTAACCTTTACCCGCACCCGGAACAGTAAGAAACTCATTTCAATACGTAACAGCCAGCCTTGTTCAAATTAGAATTCAAAGTGTTTCTTGCTATTATTTGGGTGCATAACCTTCTACATTCTAAAAATAAACGAAGCAGAATTAATAGAGAATCTGCTGAAGTGTAATGAAGGGTGAACTGAGAACTTCTTCCCGAAAGTCTCGAATATGTAGATTCAGTTAGTGAAGACACTTCTGAAGAAACACTTGAAGAAACACGTGTTGCATTTGCGATATCTTTCCTGTTTGGAATAGAAACCATGATGACCTGAACACTTTTTTGAGTTATATCAACGAGCGGGAATCGACAATGAAGTTCACAATAGAGATTGAACAAGATGGTCGACTCCCTTTCCTTGATGTAATGTTGGAGAAGTCATCAGATCAATTTGATAGAAATGTTTATCGTAAAAAAACACGTACAAATAGATATCTTCATTATACATAGAATCATCATGCGAGTGTTAAAAAAGGTATAATAAATTGTATTTACAACAGAGCTAAAATGATATGCAATTCAAACTGGAAATTTCAATAAAGAAATACCCTTAATTAAATCTGTTTTGAAAGATAACGCTTATCCAGATTCGTTCATAAATTCAACGATAAATGCAATAGAAAATAAAGAGTCAATTGAAAACCAAACGACCATATAAACAGCTTCACAAATTCAACTAAATCCAACTCAACAATTACCCACTCAACATCCACCGCCACCTTTCACAACTAACAATATACCTNTGAAAGTTACTTCTTTGCATGATCTACACATCCATGTATAGAGTTACTTCCTTCCTTTCTTTGGAAGACTCCCTCATCTTTTTTTTTTCTATCAAGATGGAGTAGTAGAAAGCCAAAAACTTTCTTTCCCAAAAATTAATCACTCCTAAAAAATATAACCCCTTCAATTCATATAATATGTGGTGATATATTGGGATAGATATTTCGTGATTTATATCTTCGATTTCATTCCAGAACACCACAAAGGCACGAAATAACAATGAAATTGAAAGTACACGTGCATTATTTCAAAATAATATGGTTATATTACTACATCACGAACAGTCTCATTTATGTAAGCACTAAATCGAATGCACAACAATTTATAATAAAACACAGAGCTATTATAGTAATCACTTAAAAACAATGACTCATATACAAAATATTTCACTCCTAATTATATACAATTTTCATAGAAAATAAAAGTTAGGCCATGAAGAAGAAATCGCCATCGGAATTCTCAATCTCTACTCGGCATCAACTTTTGGATTTCCCCTACCAGTTAACTTTTCCAAACCACCTTGGGACCTGAAATTATATAAAAATTCATCATTTTCAAAAAAATATATTGAAATTAATATACTTATAACGTTGACAAAAATTTCGATAAAAATACTTCCAGATAAGGCATCTGCCTAGAAACCTATGCGACTGTATCTCAAGCGGAAATTTACGCTATTGAATTGTGTACAGAGAAATTTGAAGAATCCATCCTCATACACAAGTCAATAAACTATTTTTGGCCAATAAAGAGCGTTGGAAGCTCTTGGCTCCTACCGAGCAACTTCTAAATTGGTAGCAAATTGCCAAAAAAGACTCCTCGATAGGATGAATTAACAGACTGTCACTGGTCTGAGGCTGCTAACTCCTTTGCAAACCCCTAGAATAATTTATCAAACCTCAATATATCCACATTGAAAGCCACATCAATGAAAATGATGCTACTTCAATGTTACTTGAAGTACAGATTGAGAATCAATGTCATCCTTGACTGATATATTTTTGAAAACTAGAGCCCAAACACAGCGCATTTATGGTTCAACGCCAGACAGCGGTGTTTCGACCCGCCGTAGGTATCATCAGTAGTACTAGGCTGAACCACTATTGCATTGCTAGACTCAACTGCCCTTGAAGAACAAACCTGAGTAAACAAGAGAGATGGAGACGCCATCTATACCACCGACAGGTAAAACTTGTTACATTACAGTGAAAGATACAGGACGAATTACGTCCGAGGTCGATTTCAAAGCTTGGCTTTTCAACTGCCGCCTTGGGAAGCCTCGTTTTTTTGATATCGATCCCATAGACGGCGTTGTCGTGAGAAGATATGTCGCCCTTATTACAAAATATTTTGGTTTCTATTACACAGGACGAATTTTAAATGATGTGATTACTTTCAGGTGGTGATTTCTCGTCATATTTAATGAAAAACATTCACATGAACGTCTGTCCTAACTTGTTGTGTGTCCACTCTACTGTAGTGCTTGTGTTTTATCTTTTAAATAAAAACATTACTGGGAAATGAAACAAGTTAGGACTCACCTTCATATGAACCTTCGCAGAAAATATGACAAGTAATCACCATCTGGAATAAATAGCCCTTATTACAAAATATTTTGGTTTCTATTACACAGGACGTATTTTAAATGATGTGATTACTTTCTGGTGGTGATTTCTCGTCATATTTAATGAAAAACATTCACATGAACGTCTGTCCTGACTTGCTGTGTGTCCACTGTACTGTAGTGCTTGTGTTTTATCTTTTAAATAAAAACGTTACTGGGAAATGAAACAAGTCAGGACTCACGTTCATATGAACCTTTGCAGAAAATATGACAAGTAATCACCATCTGGAATAAATTACATCATTTAATATACACCCTCTACAACCTTATTTTTCACTGTTTTCGTTCTCGAAAAGCAGAAATAAAAACAGAAAACCTATAAAGCAAGCACTACAAATCTGTTTTTTAGACTGGAAACTTGATAAATACTTTACTATTGTTTCAATTTGCTTTTTGCCCAAAAACAAAACTGAATTCAAAATTCATACAGGATAAACTTCTTTTCATTAATATGAATCTGGTTGATCGTCGTATTTGAATTAGATGCCTACTGAAACTTAGAATATTGAGGCAATCACTTCATTTTGATGTATGGTCAGGTTATAGTATTTTTTGAACTTTGATAATATATTGTATTATACGAAGTCTCTTCAAAAATGAGGTGAATGTGAAATTTCACGGTTTAGGTACATTCGATTCACTATTTCTTTATTATTTTACATTGGTATACTCGTCTCAAACATATGTTCACATCTTACTTATAGTCAGTGGGCATACTTGAAGACTGGCTAGTCTCAACTCCCTACACTGTAGGTTAACGGACTGACACCTATCAGAAAACAAATACCACCTAGCTAATACCACGAAGGGCATTGGATTATATCCGACAAGTGTCAGTGCAGGATTCTTCATTGAAGTAATTCCTGCATATGCTGTTGGCGATACAACCGCCGCAATAGATTTTCAATCATTGGAACACACTTGCAGACCGGTTTCGGACTGAAAGACTATCATGCACTGACGAGTGGCCAAAAACGGTGACGTTTTTGGTCAAAAACAACACCGTGATCATGCTTCAGCCATCGTATTCACCAGATTTGCCCCACTACGACTTTTTTCTGTTCCTAAGATGTTTTGCGACGATTGAGGAGATAAAAACCGGAAAAATTAAATTTAACCTCATTTTTGAACAGATCTCGTATATTCCACTTTGCGTTAATGGTCTTTATTGATATTATACGAATATTCGTATGACACATGATCATTGCATATACTAATATACTGATATGTCTCAATTCCTATACATCAACAAACTGAAAGCTTTTTTATCATTGTAGTATCATGACAAAGTGATTTTTTTTATTTAAATACTTAACTGATTAAAATTCTTATCTTACGCTCCATTGAACAAAAACGATTTTCAAATTGAAACGGTTTTTTGAAGATGATATCTAATTTCAGATGATATGGACATTTACATCAACTGGCGCTAAATCCTGAATAATATACGAGCTACCTTCTGACATTTATTCAGTTACTCAATTTTGGTATACAGGGTGTAACTGAATAAGTGTTAAACATTCAAGGAGGTGATTCCTCATCGAAAAAAAGGATCTTTCATATAAAGAAACTTCATTGGAGCATCCCTTGTTAAGATACAGCCCCTTAAAGGGGCTGTATCTTAACAATTTGTATAACATTTTTTTTCACAAGCACTGGAAAAGTTACAATATTGAAATTAACCTGACGTTTTATACTACCAAAAAGACACTTAGCCAGAAATTTATTTGGTTTACCCCATGGTTGTAGGGGGTGGAAAACTCAACCCCTAAAGCTTATTTCCAACGTAACTTTTTGTCTTATTATTTGTTAACCATTCAAAAATTCATTTCGGATAGCCTGTTTCAATCTGAACAAAAAATATCTCTTGGGTTTTTTGCCCAAAATAAACCAATTCGCAGAAAAAAATTATTTTACGAACAACTACAGAGATACATCGTCATGAATTCGAATTGGATTTATTGTTATTTTGTAGTTAGTAAATTAAAAATTGAACGTATGCCTTACTATTTAATCGAGGAAGTATAAAATGAGGCCCAATTGAATCAACCCCAATAACTCCGAGCCACACGTTAAGAGAAAACTGTTCTTGATGGTTAGTTTCGACAATAGCGTGAGGGTTTTCATCAGCCCTTATATGGTAATTATAAAAATCAATAATCTTGTCCCGAGAAAAACTACATTCGTCTGTGAATTCCATCGTCTTCAGAAAGTCACAATTTCTTCTAATCATTTCCAGCATCCAATTGCAAAATTTAAGACAGTTCGGAAAGTCTCGCAGTAACAGTGCCTGTACTCGTTGCAGATGGTAAGGGTATGAGAGTTGTTCCTTTGAAATTCGAAATACCGTCATATGATCAACATTTAGCTGGAAAGCAATCTTTCTAGTACTGGTAGTAGGTTGTTCTTCAATCAAATTAAGTACTGCTTCCTCAAGCTGTGGTGTTCGTACTTCTCGATGGCGACCACAATTCTGCGTTCTTTTGTCGAATGAACCATATTCTCGAAATCGTTGATGAAGTCGAGCAAATATTCTATGTGAAGGATGCTGCCGTTGAGGATACATTTCAGCATATCTTCTAGAAGCTTCTAACCCATTCCCCTGCGACAGACCGTTAACGTAATGCTTATCAGCCATTTCCTCATTTGTGTATGCCATTTTAATAACAAGTGAATTATTGAAGTAACAAATTTAAAACAGAACAACAACACACAATTAGTAATAATTCAATTTCGAAAATTCACAAACTGACAGCGTCATACCAATTCAATTGTCACTATCGCTAATAGCGACCTACTAGATATATTAGTTTCGCATTTCCGCATTTATGACGAAGTATGTCTGTAGTTGTCCCTAAAATAATTTTTTGATACGAACTGGTTTATTTTGGGCAAAAAACCCAAGAGAAATTTTTTGTTTAGATTGAAACAGGCTATCGGAAATGAATTTTTAAATGGTAAACAAATAATAAGACGAAAAGTTACATTGGAAATAAATTTCAGGAGTTGCGTTTTCTACCCCTGACAACCATGGAGTAAACCAAATAAATTACTGGCTGAGTCTCTTTTTGGTAGTACAAAATGTCAGGTTGATTTCAATATTGTAACTTTTTTAGTACTTGTGAAAAAAATTGTTATACAAATTTTATGTACCCCCTTTAAGGGGCTGTATCTTAACAAGGGATGTTCCAATGAAGTTTTTTATATGAAAGATCCTATCTTTTTTTCGATGAGGAATCACCTTCTTAAATGTTTTACACTTATATAGTTACACCCTGTATAATAGATACGCATGTTCAATTCTGTTATTAACATTAATTTTTTTCTGTAACTTCACGACGGCGACGTTCAGATTGTTAGTATCCACAATCAAAACGTCTTAGGAGACTTTTTTTCATTTTCCATAACTTTTTTTTTGTATATACAGGGTGTTTACTGAACATGCGGCAAAAAATCAATAAACTATTCCTTGGACTATTCTAAGCATATTTTGATTTGGTTAAAATTTGCTACGAACTATATTGGAATTATGAGGTCCAGTGGCGTCCCAGTGAGTACCACAGCCAACAATATTGAAAAACCATTTCAAAAAACTATCCCTGGACAACATGAAATAAAAACAAAAAGTAAATAATAAACAATTTCGACCTTGAAGAAAATGAGGACAATGTCCACCTTCTGATGAAATACACGACTGCAATCGATTTGTCATTGATTATCGAATACGTTGAAAAATACCTGGAGTATTCCTTATGGCACTGCAATTGTCAATTATTCGATTCCTCAGGTCATTTACATCTAGTACAGGAGTTTTGTGAATAAGAGCCTTCAGATAACCCCAATAATATAAATCTAGAGGATTCATATCAGCAATGCGAGCTGGCCAATTTTGAGGTCCTGCACGTCTAATCCAGCATTTAGGGTAGGTGATGTCGAGATGCTGACAAACGAGAACACTAAATTGAGCTGAAGTTTCGTCGTGCATAAACCACATGTTGCCTCTCACAAGTACCGACAATACTTCTAACAAAATGGGTACATGATCTCGCAAAAAGTCCGTGTAGGATTTACCTGTTGATCTTGCTGGTAGAAAAAATGGGCCAATTAGGTAGTCACCAATGATTCCCACTCAAACGTTCTGTCGAGAACGAGAGACGAGATTTTGTTTAGTCTACTTGGAAATGTATCAAAGGCAGGACTTCTGAGCAAGTCACTAAGTGGCCTCAATTATATTTTTAAAGAAAATAAGTTTAATTTGTATCAATAAAAGGGAATAGACGCATGCTTTCAAAAGCAGTGTTTGATTTCAAGTCAAATAGCAATATTAGAAAAATTACGGACTCAAAAGTTCATCAAGTCAATACACGTTCAGCCAAAATTGTCATTGTGAAAGTTCATAATAGCATATCATGAAAAATTTGTTTCGTCTGTAAATGAAGTAGTGAGTGCCATTGTATGAATCAACCACTTGTAAAACATCAATGATTGGTGAAAATTCCGAGGCAGTACAGCTTGAACCCAGTGTGATAGGGCTATAGGAGGTTTCCTTTTAGAACTGTCCACACGGTTTTTGGGCTGACTTCCAGCTGCAGTGCAATCTTCCTGGTACTATTTAAAGGTTCTTCTTCTATTCCGTGTTAGGAGTCACACCTTAAAAGGTAAAACCTCGTTAGTCCTCAGCTCGCACAAGTTTCGACTTTTGAGAGTTGTCTTCCACCACTTGAAATTTATTCAAACTCCCAGTTCCCCATAATCTTGCATGATGTAGCGTTCTAAATGTTTTAGCACATGGAATTACTGTTTATTTTGTACCTTGGGAGCTGTTTGACTTGTCCATTTAGTCCAAGTCTCCAGAAAACACTGCAGCCTCTGGGGGTGACTAATGGTCTTTCACTCTTCACGGCTTATGATTTTGGCCGTGAAGTTTGTGTTAAAGGTGTACTTCGGTGTCATGTGGTCCGTGCACATATTCAATATGTGCTCCTCCACTTGTTCCGAAATTTCTGTTCGGTTCGATTTTTGTAGTTTGGTGAGTTTTCCAGTCTGAATTGGCCCATCCTGGCCTCCCCTATTATCACAAAATTACTCTGTTAAGACATCTGTCCTGGTAAATTATCCGTGCTTCTTCCGCATTTCCATTTGCTAATCCATTAATCAAGTGCAGGTCAGCCATTCCAGCGTTCGTAAAATTATCCATGATGGAATCATTGCTAATTAACAACTCTGACATTTACTGATATGACAACACTATCACTGTCAACTGGTCTCAAAGCAGGTGTTTTTTTCTTGAAAACAAAGCTAGATATGAAGACAACACAAGTGACGATAAAGTTGTTATTTTTAGTCGATAAATCTAAAAAAAATAAAAAACTACAACAACATGTCAGTGGCGTACTTTTTTCTTCCAGTTTTGTTGGCTGTGGTCCCCACTGAGACTCCACTGGACCTAATAATTTCAATCTTGTTGTGGCTAAATAAGCGCCTTATTACTTCAAATTTCAACCAAATTTGTAAAAGGATATTTACGATATTTACGACCTAACGAATCACTCTTTGAAGTTTCATGCCATAGTTGCGAAAGAACCTGAATATTAACGAATTATTAAATCATTCAAGAAATGAATAAATTAAACAAGAATCTTTTTTCAAAAATCATTATTTTTGTCAACGATTAAATTCCTAGTTTTTCAAACTCTTTTGAAATACGTATTAACAATAATTTTTTAAAAAATAGGCGTTGAAACTTGAAGAAATATAATTATAAAGCTTTTAACAATGAGAAAATAAAATAATAATATTTGTTACTGGAAAAATATCTCTTTATTTTCAATTTTGTGCTATTAAAACAGTGGTTTCGAAGAGTGAAAAAAATTTCAGGTTTTTCATTCAAAATTAACTTGCAATTTGCAAAAATCAACAAAAGCATAGTTGCTTGGTGGTAGAATTTTCATATGTCTGCATAATAATCATTTTTCAAGCCCAATTTTCACCTCCAAAGTAAAATTATAAATATTGTGGAAACAGATCCAGGAGGCGAACTTTTTTGCAGTAAGTTTTCTGCTTTTTGAGGATTCTTCTTCGAATCGCAGATATCTCAAATAGTTTTTGAGATACTTAAAAAACAATATTTGCCTTTCCCTTTTCAAAAGTGATAAAGTTGGGTCACAACTTTTTGATTAAATTTTCGGTTTCGGGGGTCAGGTTAATGGATAAAACGAACTTATAAACCAGACTATATTCTGATCTATTTATCAGTATGCCCTTTTTTGTCTATAAGTTTTGACCGTCAACTTTTTTTCCCTAAAGCGATCTAAAAAAAAATTATTGCCATTTTTAAAAATATCCCTAGACTTTTCCGATGTGTGTAGTTTTCTAGTAGGCCTTGAGCAATGTTGTGGAATTTTTTCTTCATAAATCGAGACAAATTTGTTAAGTTAACAGAGTGGTAATTTTTTTTATTTGAGTTGGACTAGCCTTGTAGAAATTGTCCCGAATAAATGTATCCTCATCAACAAAGTACGAGTCGTTAAAATTCCATTGACCCTGCCCTTCAAAAACAAGGAATGACAGTGAGTGAATTCAGTGAAAAATATTTGTCATCCTATGATTTCATTGATCTCAAAATCCATTAGGTTCTTCCGCTGTCGTCACACTTTCTCTATTTGTTCGTTTAATCATGTAAATAACTAGTTAGGAATACATTTACTTACGCAATACTATTTATGATGCTGTCCAGCCCATTGTTTTTCTTCACTCGGTTTTTGGGAAGAGTAGCCAAATAATCGTTTGCTTTATCGTGGTAAGATCCGTACATTTCCCTCAAGGCACCATACACCAATTTTTTCACCCTGGGATCATTTTTATCCAATGTGGGGGCTGCACTCCCGTCCGTTGTGTCAGGTTGCCTAGTATTTTGCAGCTTTGGCATGGTACTATAAATATTTGGTGGAGCCTTCGAAGTGGAAAAAGGTTTGGGAGAAACCTTCAATTTTTGAGAAGAAAAGTTGGAAGCTGGTGGTGGTGGAGGTGGAGGAGGAATACCACATGAAACATTTTTCGGGGGTGGAGAGCCAGAAGAAATAATATTTGAAGATGATGGTGACCCCGAATCTGTAATAGATATTTCTGTCTGGAATTGATTTTGTTCACATTTAGTTGAGGTCATTGCGGCAAAGTCCACATCATTTCTGCATGGCTTTTGTTTGATATTATTATCGTTGCTTAGTATCTGAGCAGGCATTCCTTTATTGAAAACTGGTTTGGGGGATGGGCACACATTTTTCACTGGTGAAGTTGCTTTGGTTGCTGATTCGATTCTGTAGTCTGTTTTGTCATTCGCAGAATTTTTTTCGAAAAGCTTGGATTTCTCAGTAATGCTGGGTGTCTTTTTCAGTGGGTGCCTTTTTATTTCTTTAAAAGAAACGTTGTTTTCCATTTTTTTCTGAGGATTTTCATCGACACGAACTTTTCCTTGTAATAATTCAGTGCCTGTTTCAAACTGCAATATATGTTTTCCAATATTTTCCTGGCACTCTTCGGTGGAAACTTTACATGAGCTAACATTTCTATCCTGTATTCCATCGACGTTCAATTGAACAGTTTTGGATATTTGTTGTTTTGAATTTTGTTCGTTGTTGATTTCTATAAAAACCTCAGTTTTTACAATCTTTCCTTCTCCATTAGGGCTCGGTTTTTTCTTGAAATCGGTTTGAATTGGATTATACTTTTTATTGTTATAGTTTTCAAGGTACTGTTTAAAACTTTTCGTAGGCATTTCATTCAAATCGGAATTAATGCTTGTTGATGAATTATTAGACGGTGGAGAACAAAGGACTCCCTTCTCGCCCTTCTCGTGTTTCTTTCCTTGTTTATAGTTTCCAAGAAAACTCACATAATCCTTATAAATCGGTTTTTTGTCTTCTTTGTTCGCTACGGCTGCAGACATCATGTACCGCGAGCACTTAAAACTTAGCACGGTGAGAACACTAACGTCAAACTTGGTCACTGGGTAACTCGAGAGACTATCCTCGACTTTGCAGTGTTGCAGTTCACTGTACTATGGTTTTGTCGGTAGACTCGGAATCTGTTTAGCAAGACCGGAATGATATCATCGTTCGTCAACGTGGAGGGGCGGTGAAATGTGAAATACTTGAATTGCATTAGGAGTGGAAATCTATCACAGTATAAAGGTATTATCAATCATCAAAAATATGGATGCACTTGGAATATTAGAAACAATTTAAAACTCTGACAAGAATCGGTGCAAATTTTCAAAATACACTACACGTTTTGCCAATCTGCATGACACGAAACAGTATTATTCTATAGTCCGTTCATAATTTGTTGATAGCTCACTGCAAGTTTAAACCTCATTAGAGAACTGAAATACAGAGAGGACAGCTAATATGATATAATAACAAAAACCAAACTAAAACCTGCCAATTTAAGATGTTTTCGACTAACCCACCTTGTATCTGAAGAAATACAATACAGCTATAAAACTTTTAATCCGATTATGTAGGTATTTTGAGTGGAAATGAGTGACCAGTGTCGTAGAGTATATGATTAAAACATTAGTTACTTTAAATAAATAAATATATTAATATTCTTAAACTGTAGGTACTGTAAACTGTATTTTTATTTNAAAAAAGTTACTCACGCACTGCACAAAATTCGCAAAATAAATATTAGAGACGTTAATTACTGCCGTAGACGCCGAAACACCAACGAGCCGTAAATTAAATGCGATTAAAAAATGTACTAAACCAAAAATTATTTTCGTTCGTAACAACTTCACCCTTTCAAGGCAAGTTTCGAATATAAACTGAAGCTTTATATTTAATGAATGAACACCTTAGGAACCTCCGCCTATGATTTTACGAGTTTTACGACCGTTTTATGACTTGGGCCCTCATTTTGTGCTATCGACAAATTATGAACGGACTATAGTCAGTTTGTAAACTGCGTCCTGAAAAAGATTCATTTATTCATTAATGTATTAATCAAACTGGCCTACGAGGCTTTAATTCATCAATAAAATATTTTAGATGTAAATCAACTTTGATACATTACATGGCTCAGAGTCTAATATCTAATACAACTAATCATTGTACAAGGTGTGAAAAATCGATCAATAACACTAAAACAGGGTGTTCCTAAGGATCCATAATGGGACCACTTTTTTTATGCCTACGGTCTAAACTTATCTTTTCGAGTAAATATAGTTGTATATGCAAACGACACTAATCTTTTAATTAAAACAAATAATCCCATAGTACCTACTTTTAGAAATAACTAAATTGGTCTATAGAAAAGTAACTACATGGGCTACTAAAAATCATCTACCACTCAACATCAATAGTACACGGAAGCGTAGAAGGGTCAAAGATTATTTGTTTATTTGATCCACCATAATTTCGACTTAAAAGTCGAAATTTCGAGTTTTATCTTGTAATTTCGACTTTCATCTCGTAATTTCGACTTTTATCTCGTAATTTCGACTTTTTTCTCGTAATTTCGACTTTGATCTCGTAATTTCGACTTAAAAGTCATAATTTTGACTCAAAAGTATAAATATGGTTCCTTGAGTGCATTATGATTTACTACGAGGTGATGTTAACAGGAGGTTCGTGAAATTGTTGTGTGATTGAAATTTCAATAGAAATATGGGGTTGAAAGTGAGATCAACCTCAAGCGACCCTAAGGTTAGAAAAAATCATTAACTCTGAATCAATCAATAATTTCAACAATAATCATTTCGAACTGATGTTGAAACAAGAACAAATATTTCAGTTGAATATACATTTTTGAAGATGCTCGTGTCAATGATATTTCATTAAATTTTACCACACTATTTATTATTTCTCATCTTCACACTTGAAAAAATTTGTAATTTTGAAGATCATATCATCGTCATATTCGTCATGATCAAAGCAATAGTATTGAATATGTTCGTATAACTGCCGATTCATATTTATTCACATGAATTCAAATCTTCCCAGGTAGTTGGAGGATATTTCTTAAAAGGAGGATGTCCCAGAACTTTACGAACCGATATGGGCACTGAAAATGAAGTAATGGAGAGGATACAAAAAGCCTTTCATGAAGTATTTAGTGAATCAACAAATCGACCATGTTTTTTTGTATGGAAAAAGCATGCACAATCAAAGGATAGAATCTTGGTGGTCTATATACCGTCAACATAATGCACAATACTGTATGGATTTATTTCAAACCCTAATAGAACACAATTCATTTGATGCATCATTTTCGGACAAGTCTCTAGTTCAATTTTGTTTCATACCATTAGTACAAGAGATGAGTTGTTGTTTTTTATTTCAGAATTATCTTGATCAAGTATGTTTTGAATGGAATATTCATAGAATACGAAAAACAAGAAATGCTATTGCTCCAGCAGGGTGAACAAATACGATATATATCGTATGTGATGCCTTCCCTTTATGGAGTTACAGATCACCTCATCAAGATTCCATCATTCGCTTTTAAACATTTTTTGTCGGAGTGTACATATCCCCGGACAGCCTGTGATGAAGATTTTTGGAAATTATTATCAATTTTTATTTCTTCGCTTCTTCGATTGACGACTTGTTTATTTTGTGGGAATTCATGTTCACTGAGGATACACTACAAAAACACATTTTTGTCTATTTTCCACTATATTTCTTTATTGCAGAACAATAATTCAAATTTTATGAAAAAAATAATTACACAAGGTCCCTAGATCCTTATGCCACAATTGATTCATACATTAACCTGAGAAGTGAATTGATTATGTTATTTGAATAAATTTTAGATAATAATTATGCGTTGATATCATTCAGTACCTTTTTAAAAAAGTAAATGCTTTCGCACGAGTAGGAGAAAGTCAACTTTGGCCAAAATATTATTTTCTCATCATAGTAAATCAATCTGATCAATAATATCTTCACTTCATTATCAAAATTATTCTAAAATTCAGTTTTTCATTACAACTGAAGACATTTCTAGTAAAAATTTATTAACATTTTGAAAGAATACTACACATTCATATCTTAAACGTTATATAGAAACACAGTTTGCAATGGCAACCAAATAATACTGTCGTTATGTTCTTCGGAGAGATACATTGGTCATTTATTAGGTATTTTGGGTTTTTCTCTCCTCGTTTCGAAAAATCGTAGAGATCCTGGATAACTGGACCAGAATGGTTCCCGATGGTTCAATAAAAAAATATTCAATTAAATCGGTTTCTGTCATATTTCTTCGTAAAAAACATAGCACTTTGACAAGATTGGAGCACTGTCGAAGTGATTTGAAAAGAGTGTCGAAATTTTGAGATAAAAGTCGAAATTACGACATAAAAATCAAAATTACGAGATAAAAGTCGAAATTACGAGATAAAAGTCGAAATTACGAGATAAAATTCGAAATTACGAAATAAAAGTCGAAATTTCGAGATGAAAGTTGAAATTACGAAATAAAAGTCGAAATTTCGACTTTTAAGTCGAAATTATGGTGGATCAAACAAACAAATAATCTTTGGCCCTTCTACGCTTCCGTAATAGTATAATCAATAATATTAGTATATTTAAATATGACGATTTGGAGGTTACATCTTGTAGATCAGAAACTTACATGGAATCCACATATTGACCTACTCTGAAATAAATTGAAAAACAATTGGTAAAAAATAACATTCATGTGAAATCACTGCAGCAAGGAAGTGTGTCACCTGTATGATATTTTAAAAAAAATTCCATAGATTGTCTGGTAGCAGTTATAATGCTGAATATTATCAGTCTTGCCTCCAACCCTCTTTTTATTGTATATCAACGCCTTATTGGAAAAAAAACAAGAATCCAATATATCGCTCTGCTGACGACAGCACAATTGGTTTATAAAAATGTAACTACATGGGCTACTAAAAATCATCCACTACTCAACATCGATAGTATAATCAATAATCTTAGTATATTTAAATATAACGTTCTGGAGGTTACATCTTGTAAGTCACAAACTTACAAGGAATCCACATAGTGACCATTTGGATTCCAGGACATCAGCTACAGAGCCACATCTTCACCGGCAGCAAGAGATTGCATATCTTAATGACTATGTGGAAGTGATTTCGAATTGAGGTAAAAGTAACCAGGTTCTATTCAATGCCAAAAAACACAGGCATCGGTTTTCTCCAAGAAGATAGGTTTTTTCTGGTTCTAACATCCCAAAACGTTTGGAAACTGCGCAAGACATGGTGCGTACAAACAAAAAATCTCAAACAGTCCGAAATAGTCTCGGACACTTGTTTAAACCAGAACGTTTTTGAGGAGACTACTGTGCCACCTATCGTATATATGAAGAGATGAAGACGAGAAAATACTAATAATCATGTCCATTTTGTTATGTAGCGTATCCGTATAGTCAGCTCAAATGTTATCTATCCTCAGTCATCAATTATTCAAATCAAATAAATAAAAAAACATCCTAGCAAATAGCCCAAACAAATTTCCACATGAATGCGCATGAGCAACGGGAACAGTTCTCAACAATTCAGCCTCGAGAGCAAGGACGATTTGGGACGGTTCAAAACAGTTTAGGATCATTTCGCAGTCAAAACCAGAACAGATGATTCATCAGTCTGAAATTATCCTCAATAAACCAGAACGCTCTATATCAACTGCGCATGATCCTGACTTCCTAGAACCTGAATTTCGCAGAACCAGAACAAACCTGATAAATGTGTCCGAACCGGATATGTCGGGTCAGACAATTTCTTTTTCTGCTTCGATAAGTTTGCTGGGGGGTTAAAATGGACACTAATATGTCTTGGCACAATAATATCGCTGGAATTGCAAAGGCTGCTTATCAAAAGCTTGGAACACTGTTTCGAACTAGAAAACTGTACACACCTCGCAAAATATGCTTTATTTAGTTTTTTACAGACACTATCGATGTGTTGATCCCAACTTAATGTTCAATCCAAAATTGTTCCTAAAAATTTAACTTCGTTTGCTGCATTGATATTGATATTATCGCACTGAGCTAATTCACTTATGGTACCCCTACTTCTATTATAAA